TGGAATGGACACTAGAATCAGCCACCTTTTGTTCTTCTTAAAGGGCACAAAATGATATAATAAACACATTTTATGTGTAGACAAGCTTACACAAGAAACACAGTTTGTGAGATGAATATATGGTAGGCAATTATATTTTCCTCTTTGTAGCTGTGAGATCCTTTACATTTCATTATGAGGCTTTCTCTCCAAAACAGAAGCAGCTGTTAGAACTGTGGCTATTCCTACAAATAAAACAAAGCTGGCAGATCTAATTTTAGGATGCTTTTCCTTGACAACAGCATTTTATGTATTGCCTATATAACCATAAAAAATTGGCTCCAGAAATTAATGAGACTGTATTTGGTCAAGAAAATTAAATTCCCTTTTGCAGTTGAACTGCAAACACATAACAGGGCTTTCCCTTCACCCTGCTCTGGTGACTGAAGTTTTTATTTATTTAATTTTTATATTTTTGTTTTTTATTGAAACGCAGTTGATTGGACATATCTGTGAGGTACAGCATTGAATATCAATACCGTGGTGCAATACGTGATGCTCAAATCAGGATAGTTAGTATATTCAACATCATGCAATGTATCAACTTTCGTGGCCCTTCACCAATTCCTCCCTTACCCCCTCCCTCTCTCTCTTTCCCACCTCTGATAACCTCAATTCTGTTTTCTCCTTTTGGAAGTTCAACTTATTATTGTGATTGTTGTATTTTTCTTTCTTTTAAAAATGTATTTATTTATTTATTTAGCTCCCTCTTATCAGTGAGGACATGAGATATTTCTCTTTCTGTGCCTGGCTTATTTTACTTAACATAATGTTTTCTAAGTTCATCTTTGTTGCTGCAAATGGCAGAATTTCATTCTTTTCTGTGGCAGAGTAGTATTTCACTGTATGCATGCCACATTTTCCTTATCCAGTCATCTGACAATGGATGTCTAGGTTGGTTCCAACTCTTGGGCTATTGTGAATAGAGCTGCAGTAAACGTGGGAGTGCAGGTATCCCTTTGACATGATGATTTGCATTCCTTTCAGAATATTACCAGCAGTGGAATTGCTGGATTATATGGCAGTTCTATCTGTAGTTGTTTGAGGAAACTCCATACCGTTTTCCATAATGGCTGTACCAATTCACAGCCCATGGACAGTGTAGGAGAGTTCCCCTTTCTCTGCATCCTCACCAGAATTTGTTATTCTCTGGCTTTTTGATAATAGCCAGTCTAACTGGGGTGAGATGATATCTCAGTGCGGTTTTGATTTGCATTTCCCTGATGCTTAGTGATATTGAGCATTTTTTCATGTGTTTATGTGCCATTCGTATATCCTCCTTTGAGAAATACCTATTGAGCTCCTTAGCCCGTTTTTTAATTGGGTTATGTGTTTTTTTACTAAGTTGTTTGAGTTCCTTGTAAATTCTGGATATTAATCCTTTGTTGGTTATATAGTTTCTGAATGTTTTCTCCTACTCTGTAGATTGTCTTTTTGCTCTATTAATTGTTTTTTTTTTTTCTGTGCAGAAGCTTTTCAGTTTGATATAATCCCATTTGTTTATTTTTCCTTTTGTTGCCTGTGCTTTTGGGGTCTTATTCACAAAGACTTTGCCCAGTCCTACTTCCTGAAGTATTTCCCTTATGTTTTCTTTCAGGAGTTTTATAGTTCCTTGTATTTAAGACTTTAATCCATTTTGAGTTGATTTTGGTATATGGCAAAAGAGGTATGTGTCTAGTTTCATTCTTTAACATATGGATGTCCAGTTTTTCCAACATCAATTATTGAAGAGGCAGTCTTTTCCCCAATGTATGTTCTTGGTGCCTTTGTTGAGGATCAGTTGACTAAGTATGTGGGTTGATTTCTGGGTTCTCTATTCTGTTCCATTGGTTCATGTGTCTGTTTTTATGCCAGTATCGTGCTATTTTGGTTACTATAGCTCTGTAGTATAATTTGAAGTCAGGTAGTGTTGTACTTCCAGCTTTATTGTTTTGCTCAGGATTGCTTTGGCTATTTGGGGTCTTTTGTTGTTCTAGAAATAGTGAAAACAATCCTAACATTTATATGGAACGGTGACTGAAGTTTTACTGTTTATGGTGTTGATGGTGGATGGCAAGTTTTAACGTATGAATCAGTAAAAAAAGGCCAACCATGCAATGAATGCCTACAGTGAAAAATGGTTTTAATCACAAGGGTGTGCAGATTGTTTCACTACATAAAGTTTGTTGTTCCTGTGTTTACTCTAATAGCTTTAGTTGACCTAAATAATTTGGACTTTTAAGTTCCATTTTGAGAACCAAATTGTTCTGTAAATCTGCGCATGCTAAGCAAGCAATTGATTATCCCTTTCTCTGATGATTTTGTTACCAAGAGTGAAGTTTGCCTTGGTTGAAATTTTACGACAAAATAGTCACACACACATACTCACATGAAATAATGATATATAACTAACGATAATATTGTACTGATTAGGCATGAAGAGAAGTAAAAGTCATTGTTTCTATTGAGTCTTATTACAATTATTGTCATATATGGAATTGGTAGGTCACAATGTTAAAGAGTTATGAAATTTCAATGTTAAGGTCACTTGTGGATAGATTTTGCTTTTACTTTTGGTTTTCAGCAGATTGAATCTTCTATTTTTATACAATAAACTAATTTGAGGATAATTATATGTGAGTTATATCAACATTTAAAAAATTAATCTTTGAAATTTTTGCTGAATTCCTAATTGACATTGCAAAGTTGCTCTTATTTGAAGTTTGTTACTGGGCGCTTACCCCAAAATAATTCTTGCAATTCTTAGATCCTTGGTGAGGTGTCCCCATACGTAATACTGTGCATTTCATGGTTGGAACATTTAATTTCCTTCTCAGCTCCTGGAAGTCCTCTACTGCTTTTCTTCTCTTTGAGGATTGCACTGAATATACACAAACTTGGGACTGTGTACCTTTTATTTATTCTGCTATCAAAGCTGTGCTTGAATGTGGCAAATTGCCAGTCATACACGTTGGCTGGGTCTTTAAAGAAATATAAATTTTACTTCCTAGGTACTAACCCTTTACTTCGTATAGTATTTTTACTTTCAAAAATTAATTCTCATTTTTATTAAAGTAATAAAATAGTGCCATAAGACAATAAAGATGGGAGTTTTCTTCTCTACCTTTGGTGCTAGCCAGGTTTGCTTCCTGAGACACCAACTTTCACGTTTTAATTTTCTTCCTAGATTGCATCCATATTTTTAAATAATAATTTTATATAGCTGTTTCTTGATTTATCTATTTAAGCATTATTTACTGATTTATAGCCTTTTTAGATGAAATTCTGACCACTCCCTTCTTGACTAACGCTCCCCTCATTCTCCTGATATAGTTCTATTGCCATTTCAGTGAATCGATTTAGTGTTTATAGTCTTATGACTAAATTGGCTTCACTTCTGAGCAAAGTAGTGAAATATGAATATGTTTCTTGTAGAATATAACTTCTTGTTTTTCCTGGAATTAATAAATATGTCACTTTAATTGTTAGTTTGTTGGCCTCAATTACTGCATACCTATCACTTTCCAAGTTCGCCAAAAGAATTGTAAAACACCCTTCAACATATTTCCCACACTTTCAAGCACATCATGTGCTTTTTCTGTTCTACTCTTTTCCTTGGAGACATTGTTTCCCCCCCCCCAGTTCCTTCTGGGATTATCTAAAGCCTGAGGCACAGCTATCCCCTGGGACTGTTCTTTGCTTTCATTCTGGGAAATCCCTTTGACACCCTCAAGAAGCCGGTCTATTGTTTCCTGGATCCCATTCTTTCTTATTTTACCCTCATTTAGAGGATGAGATAAAGCACTTGAGAAATATATTTTTAAGAATGCATTTACATATGAAAATATATTTATTTTATTTTGAAATAGCTTGATTGACTCTAAAATAATCAGTTATAAATCTCTCAGAATTTTGTAGATATCAATTCATTGTCTCTTCACTTTCAGTCAGTCATCTTTTTATGTGAATTCATCCCAACCCCTATATAGGAGCCAGCAATTTTCCTGATTTCTTCTGTTTTGAAATTTTGTGATAATAACCTTAGTGTGAGAATTTTTGTACTGGGAAATTGGTTACTTCTTTCAGTCTCGAAATATGTGCCTTTCAGTTTGGGGAAATTTCTTCATTTTTTTAATCTGATAATTTTCTTCCTCCTCTCTCTCTTTTTAAAAAAATTCTTCCTTTTTGGGATTTTTATGTTGTACATCCTGGATTAAGTCTCAACTTTTCTTATATTTTTTCTCTTGTCAATTTTTTCCTTTTTTCCTTTTTAACTTTTTTTTTTTTAAAGATGACCGGTAGGGAGATCTTAACCCTTGACTTGGTGTTGTCAGCACCACACTCTCCCAAGAGAGCCACAGACCAGCAAAAAATTAAAATTTTAACATCTATTTTTTAAACCCTTATAATACTTTTCCAAGACCTGACCTCATTTTTATTTTGATTGATTCTTATTTGTAGCTACACCATTCTTTTGTTGTGCATGTAATAACAATTTTTATGGCTCTGAAATTAATTTTAGTTGATTCACAATTTTTCTTTTTTTACATGAACAGACTTCCTATGGAGTTCTGTTTTTGTGTGTTTGCTTCAGTGTATCATTCATGTTAAAGGCTTTCCTCGGAGGTCTGGTGATTCTTGGCTGTGGGCTCACATTTAAAGGAGAGACACTGAAAACTTATTGGTGCTGTGTGAATGGACAGTGTTTGCTGACTTGTGGGCTTCATAATAGAGTGGTAGGTGATTAGCCATTTAAGTGGGTGATTACCAAATGCCAGTATCTGCAGATCTTTCTTTGGAGTTGTTTATTCTCTGTATAGGAAAATAATCTAATCTCTTGTCTTAGATGTTTAAACCTTGTTAAATCCATTCTAAAGCTGAGTGAGAAAAGAAGTTGATGTCATACCATTCATTATGTACTTTTAACTTACTTTTTAAGGGTAGCAGTTTACCTCTCTCAATATGTGTTTTAATTTCACCAGGAAATAAACATCTGATCTTCGAAAGTGATGTGGGAGTAGCAGTTGCTATGTACTGAGGAGGAAAATGAGGACCTACCTTCTTCTCTTTATACAGACTTTCAACCAAAACCCTACTTTCAGTCCCACTCTGACTTCCTGAAATCTACAACACGTGAAGCCTCCGATTTGGGCATCTTTTCAGAGTTCCTTAGAGTGAAACCTTTGCTTCTAGCTGTTATTCTTTGCTAAGATTTTCACTCCTCCAAATACTTTCCAAACTTCCAAAAATGAAATTGATCCGCTTGTATCTTGTTGCCTTCTTTCCCATTCACTTTGTCCTTCTGAGGAATTTACAACACTTTTATGTCTTTACTGTCAGGTTAGTAGAGTCTTAGGGGGTAGCAATTACAGATGTATGCATTCAGTTACCCATGATTAAAAAAAAAGATGCACTAAAGTTTTTAAATAATTTGGAATTAATTCATTTTTTCTTTTTCACTTCAATTGTCTTGAAAACCCTGTAAGGCAAGACCACATACAAACTCCATTTATCATATAAGGAAACCAAAAGAGAAGATCTTCTTAAAGTAATTGTATTACGCAGGATTCTGTGCAGAAGCCAGAAACCACTCTGGTATTTCAAACAGAAAGGGCTTTAATACAGGAATTGATGTTTATAAAATCACAGGAATGCTTGCAGAAGCTGGAAGTCAGGAGCACACACTGCACTAGCAAGTTGAAAGTTCGCCACCATGGCTGTGATTTGGTCAGGAATCAGTAGTGCTATCACCCTGCTGCCTCTAGACACCCACAGAGCCAGTGGCTGGGTAGGCAAAGGTGGAATCCAGCCAATACAACTGCCTCACGGCCTTGTTTGCCAGCCAAAAACAGAAGCAGGAGGATGCGCCTCCTCACTTTGCCTTCCAAATACTTCGAGACTGCTTTTAACTGACTACCTAATTCACATCTAAAACTTCAGCTAAAATGATCTGGGAATGTAGATTTTAGTTTTCAAATCTCTCAAAGTAGAATGAGTCAATTTAAAGTATCTACCACAGTAATACAGCGAGTTTGTGACACAGCTATAAACAGAACCCAGGTCTTTGTGACTTCTGGTATTTTTCTTTCTACTGCTTCCTTCCATTAAAGAAATAAAAAATATAAAATAATAAAAAGATATAAAAATCACATTAAAATTTGCCATCCAAATAGAATGATTATCTAAATTACAGTAACAATGGAATTGACATGTTTTTCTTTTAAGGCTTTTGTTTCCAGCAGTCTTTGCTAATACTAAATGGAAGACAATATTTTGATTCTCATTGCAGAATACAGGAACCTGTATTACATGTTTACATTAAACTAGGCTACTTAAGGCATACAAAAATAAAATACTTAGTCTTTCTTCTAACTGGGTAGATAAAACTATTAATTGGTGGTACACCTGTTAATTGGTCATACATTATAAAATATAAAAGACGTATTTTTCTTTGTGGTTGAAAAGACTCATATCTGTTTTGCGTCAGGAATTTGTTACCCCATCAAACCTTGTAAGGTAATATTGCCATTGCCATTTTGGAGAACAGTAAGTTGATGCTCAAGGTTAGATAACTCTACCAAATAATGCTGATATTGGATTATTGAGTAGGATTTAAATATTGTGCTTTTTCTCTTATATCAGGCAGCATTTTGAGAAGATTTGAGATGAATCTTGATGAAGGGTAGGATTTGGGTGGGGAAAAGGGTAGGATGAGTGTCTATAACTCAAATTCCATTAGGGGCCAAAATTGAGGGAGGTGTGTTGGGTGGGGACTGTGGTAACTCAGAGAGTGCCTCTTGGGACAATAGCCTCCTAGTCCAGCTTTTTTTTCTATCAGATTATCAGCACATAGTGGTCATTCCTGATTTTTAGAAAAAAGTCAACATTCATATTTTTATGTATAATCTTTGATTTAAAAATGTTAGCAAATAAATCATAGCTTTAAAAAATCACCGATCGGGTCAATGCTGTGAAGACCAAGTTAAACACATGTGTAATAGCATGTTAAAATAGGATTCTTTCCATTTTAGCTTTGGCTGAGGCACCGAAGGCCAAGAACAATGCAAAAAGTGCCAACCAAAGCCAGATCCTATATGCTGGACCACCCATACAGGAAAAGTAAGTCAGTGCAAAATGGATTATCTGGCATTAGAGACAGCCCTCTAGTCTGTATTGAACAGACTTACTTGGAGCAAGAGCTGTCAATGTGCTGGCACCCTTACCACATCCAGGGAAAAGTCTAAAGGCGAGAGACTGTGGCTGGAGCTGCCTTTGTTTGCTGGCAAGGAGAAAGAGGGATTACTGAGCTCTCCACCAACATCAAGCACACATGTTCTCTGGCAGGCCAAGTGGATCCTTAGAAAGAAGCCAGCCTGGGCCAACTCAAAGGAGATCCTGCCTAAGATGACTGCCTGGACGTGAAGAGCAACTCCAACAGAGTGGACCACTGGAGCTAGGAATGAGAGAGAGTCCTTAAATGTCAGGTAGAGGACAGGTGTTACCTGCCTCAGGAACTGTAGCCAGAGGACTATAGAGGGATGAGCTCCAAAAATCCCGTGGGGAGGAGGGACTCCACCAGAGAAAAAGTCACTTTTTAAAAGGAATCAACACAGGAAACCAATTGTATCTGCTCTACTTGGATAAAACTGGGCCATTCCTCCTAATTCCTTTCCCCTGGGGCCTGGTAAGTTAGAGAGTTGGGGTGGAAGGAAACTCCAACCTGAAGCAGGGTGGGGAGGGTAAGGCTGGAAAATGCTTCACTTTGAAAGGACGGAGTTCTGATTATTACACTGAGGTTGGACATTTTGACTTCTGAGATGAGACTCATCTTGTGACTGAAAGGGACCAGAATGTCTGTGAGAGCTGGATTTTGTTTAGTGATGGAAACAAAGAAATCCAGAGGGTGGGCATGTAGGGGCAATGGGAGGAAGAATAAAAGACTCCTTATTGACTGCAGTATTTTTCTTAAACACTTGCACATGTCTGCAAGCCAAAACTGTGGGACAGAGAGTGATGGCTGGGCAGAGGAGGTGAGCACTGGGTGGAGAAAGTATGATCGATTATGTTAAGTAACAAAAGACATAAAGCTTTCTGTAAAAATACTTTGTATTCTCTTTTGTCTTTTTTTTTTTCTTTGTAAAACCAAATGAGCTTGGAAGGCTCTTGCTACACATTTAGATGCGCGAACAAAATTGGCAGTTCTAATGCTTTTAGATGTGTAGATGATAAAAGGTTACGTTAGCTTAGGAAACAGCCCAGTAGAGACCATTCAACTTTCTTCAAATGATAATATATGACTCAGTTGAAGACTCAGTTAATAATTTTGTATGCTCCCTTAAAGCCCACTGCAATTGATTTTTTTGAATGTACATTTTTCAAGGACTTAGCAAAGCAACCAAATTAAGAAGCGTTATCATTCTATGATTACATAGCCACTGAAGTGCCATCATGTGGAATTTGTTCAAATACTGGCATAAAATGCACTGCAAAAGATAGTCCAGAAAGTCCCCTCGTGTCTGTTAAGGGGAGATTTTTGTTATGTATGGCAAGGAATGCTTTGGCTAATCATTATAGTTTTTGTTTTGCTTGAGTTCCTGATAGTGTTTTGTTGTTTGAGACTCTTGCGGCTGCCTTAATGGCCAGGATGAGGTTAGCACAGAGTGCATGTTTTACATAATATAAAAAGTGTGGTTGAAAAAGCTGCTGGTCCCCTGCTCATTTGTTGCCACCATAATAGAACATGTGGGCATTGCATTGTCTGACACCCATACTAGGCCTGGAAATTGTTTATGTAATCCCCCACACAATTAAATATATGAGTAACAAAGGCAGCACTAATGACTTTTTGGCATGTGCATATCTCTTCTCACACGATCTCTTTGAGAATCAGACTTTACTTAAAAGCATGATTCATTGGATCAAAAAAATTCATTTAGCATTGTTTTGAAATATAACAATGAGCAAAACAAAAGTTTGTGGTTCAGAAAAACTCATAATAGAAAAATTGATTCTTCTCTAAGTTAAACTCACAAAGGGAATATTTTGGTCTTGTTCCGTGGTAGATTTTAAGATCACATGGGCAAAGTTCTGTTACCCTAAACCACTTACATCAATAGGTCAGAGAGTTAAACTCAAAATTTCAGGAAGTTTGATAGAATCTTGCTGTGATAAGAAATTTTACGTAAAGTTTAGATTTGAAAGACAAAAAGTATAAACTGATGTTCATTTATCCACTCATCATTCATCCATTCACAAACTCATTCATTCAATAAAATGTACTGAGTTTCTCCTATGTGTAGAGCTTGATCTCACTTTTTTAGGTGGATAAAAAGATGAATAATTGTAAACCTTAGGAGGTGGGGCACTTAAAAGCTGTATGATATATATTAGACATTGGCACAAATAATCACATAAATAATTAGAATTGGTGGAAATAAGTATAGTAGTGTCCAATCTAGTATGAAACGGGCAGAGCAAAATAAATCTGAAGTTTTATAGAATCAATACTGGAAATTGTCCTATTGGACGAAGAATCCAGTACATGTCTAAAGGGCAACTGTATTGATATTGGTTAGGCAAAGTACGATGCTAGGTAATGAGCAGGCCAGACACCAAAGACAATCGAGAAGTGGAGCTGAGCATCAGGTCATGATAATAATGATAAAGATCATGAGAACAGCATCAAAGATAATTATTTCTAGAGAGACGTTGAGTTTAATGGGCTGAACATGTGATGGCTCATAAGCAAGGTATCTTAAAGTTGCTATCTGACAACTGTATACACAATGTGGAATGAGATAAGAAGTATGGTATTCCTCTGCAAATGCAGGGGGAAGTGAGAAACAAGTTATAGGAGAAATGGCATTTACTCTATATCTTGAAGGATTTCATTAAGTAGCAACAAGGAAAATGATACTCTGGGAGAAAGAAACAGTGTGAGAATATGCAAGGTAGTGAGAAAATATAAGATATTTGGGAAAAATAGTATCCTTTCCCATTATACCAGAGCACTGTCTATTCTGGGGAGCAATGTGAGCTACAGTATTGGAAAGGCTGAAGGGAATGTTAATAAGAGATATATGTGCTAGGCATAGTGCCAAACACCATATGCATATATGCATATTATTACATATGATGATCAAGCAAACCTGGGTGTGTGTGTGGAGGTGATTCACATTATTTCCTCCATTTTAAAAACAGGGAAATTGAGGTTTACATAAATTACAAATCCTGGCCAAGGTAATATAGTTAGATAGTAAATAGGACAGATTTGCTTCAAAGCCTGGACTCTTGACCACCACATTAGTTTGCCTCTTCTGCTTAAACATGGGTGATGTCGGATGACATATCTGACTCTGTGCTGTAAGAACGTTCTGTACCAGTGGTAAGTATTGTGAAAAGTCTGAGAGTTGAGCTAGTCT